AATTACAGTATATAAGTATAGAACGATAAACTATGCTTTACTTCGTGGCGTGCGCCATTTAATGCTCACACATAGCAACAACATCAATCATCGCCTATAGGTGGCGGTAAAGTGTTTATTATTAAAGCGTTTAGAATATTGTTACAATACCAAATCTCTGCTGCTCGAGATAACTTACGAAGGCCTACAGTAGCCTAGGCGAAGATTAAATTTGTTTACAGTATATAAAAATTTGCTTTCACCATTTTGGCGAACGATGCAAATGGTTTCTTTGCCAAACGGTATCTCAATTCGCCATTGGCGAATGACTAGCGTGAGCATAGGTCTCGCTTCGTTTTAACGCATTCTAGTTGTATTCTACTGATTAAAAGCTGCCACCAAAAAAAAAAAAAAAAAAATTAAAGAAAAAAATGAAATAAAATCCTCATTTCAATGATTGCATCCCCTCGTGGGAGACGTATAACATTTGTTCTGGTGTGAATCAGGTAGTGGTAAAATACCACATAAACTCTGATGGTACAGTGCTTGTGTCACTTGAAATCAGTGAACTCTAGGCGTCACACTGATTTGTTAGTGTGCTTTATTAATGCTAGGAGTTATTTTATGACTCTGTGGGATTGTGAACTTAAGACCTATGGTAGCAGACAGTGGAACTTTACTGTATTGTACTGTAGTAACAGAAATCTATGAGCCCAATCACACTTGATAGAACTTACTATAGAGCAGCTCTGGACTGGCTCAAAACCACATTTTTCTAAGTGTGAACAATAAATAAGTTTTAAGCCGGCCCAAAGGTGACCTAAAGTCGGCTCAGGTCCTGTAATGTAAGACTTTGATCAACTCATCTTCATATATGAACGTAAACTGAACCTGTATCGCCAGGGTCGTTTTGATAGTGGTCAATTTTGACATCTCATTCCATATTTCACAAAAAACTTGGCACTAAAGAGGAAGTGTGGACATTCACTGTGCGACACTCACAGTGCTAACCAATACAGAACGGTCATTTTGAGTCGACTGT